AATGTTTATTTATTTTTGAGAGAGAGAGAGAGAGGACAGAGTAGGAGGGGCAGAAAGAGGGGACAGGGGATCCGAAGTGGGATCTTCACTGACAGCAGCGAGCCCGATGTGAGTGGGGCTTGAACTCACAAACTGGAAGATCATGACCTGAGTCGAAGTCGGATGCTCAACCGACTGAGCCACCTAGGCACCCCAAGATTAATTTTGTTTTTGATAACTTATTCCCCAGCTTTCCTTTTTGTGTCCTTTCCTTCCTGGGTCCCTCGGTCCCCATTACTGTAGTACGGTCTCCTGCCTTTTCTGGCCACCACTCCATGCTTGCCCTCCTGCTTCCTTCTCCTTCCGCTTAGGGCCTTGGGGTAGGACCCTTGGAGCCAGGATTCTCCTGTGTTTAAATTCTCTGCCCTGGAGCAGACCTCCCAGGGGCCAGCCTTTCCAGAAGGACCTTCTGGAGACCACACCCCCATCAAATACAAGGAGACAACCTCAAGGTGACACCTTCTGGCAGGTTAGCAAGAGGCAGGAAGCCAATGAGGGAGGTTGGGAAGCAACCTGGCCGTCCCTCCCCCTGGCCCAGGGCTCTAGAGAAGGGCCTGCAGCTTTACATCTGCCACTCGATGCCTTTGCATTCAGGGCCCCGCTGCCTGTTTGTTCATGGTTGAAAAGACTTCCTGCAAAGTTCACCATGCCTCGGACCTTCAGCTTTCCCCTTCCCTCAAGTGCCCAGGGCTCTCCCGTCAAGCCTCGTGATGCATAGGGGTGAGAGGAGGGTTTAAAGCAGGGAGATACTCCTCCCATCCCTCAAATCTCCCAGATAATGGCCTCCTCTATAGTGAAGAGCCCAGCTCCCAGAACAGGCAGGCCTCAGGGATCTTGTAAGGTCCTCTTTGGCTGTCCCGCAGCAGGGCCTGGAGGCCCAACCCCTCGGCCTCTGACCGAGGGGCCTGTCTGAGGGTTAGTAAGGCCCAGCAACAGAAAAGCATGTTCTAGCTTCCTCCAGTCCTCATTTCTCGGGCTTGTCTTCAGGAACTTGGGATTTAGTTCTCCCTCAACCCATGCCAAGATCAGGGCTCTTTGGAACTTATTCTTGTGGCAGGAGGCCTCCCTTTAATGATGGTGTCAAATGAGATGGAATGTGGCCAGGTTGTTATAGGAACTCAGGAGAATCCCTGGAGTGGGAAAATAATGAGAACACGGGGCCATTCACCATTCAGCGCTGGAAAGTAGAGCATTCATTGTCCCGTGGCAGAGGCTGTGGCGTGGGAGG